GAATGAATTTAAAACCTTCGACGATATATGTGAAATTGATAGATTAAATTGTCTGGAAGCTTCAAAGAGTAAGTCAGGGTTTCATTTTATACTCCAGGCTGATTTTTCAATGGTTAGATAAAAGTTACCTGGGGAAAAATTATGATGTTGTCGCGTCACAATGTTTGTATAAGACAGTGACAGCAACAATTTTATTCCTAACAGATAGATAACATTTATCTGTTTATTGAAAAATCAGTTTTTAAAGCAACATAGGTATTCAGCCTTATTTATCTTATGTGACGGATTACTTGATGGTAAGCAATCAGCGCCGCCCATGGACACTTGTAATACCAAAAGAGTTACTACCTACTGTAAGTGCGTGATTGAGGACGAGGGGTGAAGGATTGGGCCTCCGGTAACCTCACTCACACGGCGAAACACAACGCTGTGGTTGTTTCACGCCAGTTTTCTGTGAGGCCGTGGTATCACTCCGGTCGAGCCGACCCATTCGTGCTAAAGCATGACTGTTCCAATCCAATAAACTTGGACCTTTGAAACTGAGGTCACGTTACGATCCTATCAATCTAGGAGGTTGTGGAAACCACCTTATGTAGAGGAGGCCTACACTCCAGCCGTGGGCTACGCTCCTGATAAAGATTTGAATAGTATAAGTAATATTTTTTTTCGTTTTTTTTTTCAGGACCACGTACGTAATTATCTAATTAAATATAGATATATATTACTTACTCTTAACCGCGGCGTCGCTCCCATCTCATTTTACTACCTACTCTACTCTACCTACCCTACTCTACCTACCCTACTCTACCTACCCTACTCTACCTACCCTACTCTACCTACCCTACTCTACCTACCCTACTCTACCTACCCTACTCTACCTACCCTACTCTGCCTACCCTACTCTACCTACCCTACTCTACCCTACCCTACTCTACCTACCCTACCTACCCTACTCTACCTACCCTACTCTACCTACCCTACTCTACCTACCCTACTCTACCTACCCTACTCTACCTACCCTACTCTACCTACCCTACTCTACCTACCCATCTCTCTTCCCGACTATCTTCTAAGTAGACTTTTTTTTTATATAACGCTTTTCAGTATATGACACTTTTAAACAAATTGAGGCTCAAATTTTGAATATGGCTAGGATTTTTATTGTTAAAGCTTGTATACATTGACATCCAAACGAATCAAATTATACAGTCCAAACTCTAGGCCTTGCTTCCTACACTTTTTTTATGTATTAGGTCGGCAAACGGACAGACTGATTACCTGATGATAAGCAATCAGCGCCGCCCATGGACACCTGCAACGAAGGAGCTACGAGTGCGTTGCCGACCTTTTGGGGATAAGGGATTTGGAGATTTAGGGGTTGAGGAGGGATTGGGGGAGGGGAAGGATTGGGCCACCGGTAACCCCACTCACACAGCGAAACACAACGCCGGTTTTCTGAAAGGCCGTGGTATCACTCCGGTCGAACCGACCCATTCGTGCCGAAGCATGGCTCTCCCACACTTAAACTTTTTCCTTTAATCTTTTTTTTTCAGACTGGCATCCCTTTTCTGTAGGAAAGTGTACGACAATGCCAACAATGCACGCAGGGAACATTAAAACAATAGTAGATAGAAAAAAGAAATTTGACAAAACAGCAAAATGATATAAAAATAAAACGTATTGTAACTGTGTTACTCCTATTTTTTAAGGGCTGTTTTTTCAATGGTTTTACAGGGTGTAAAAATACACTTAACGAAGCCGTTAACTACGCATACTGCAGTTCTAACTAAGTAGCTTTACGCTAAAATTATCACTGGGAAACGACTTTTATTTTTAGGTATCAAGAAAAAAAAAATTGCGCGCAATGTAAAGCAAACGGGCTTCGTGTCATTGTGTGCGTAGGTTCACAGCTTAGCATTAAAACGCTGTGATAAGTACGTAGGTCGACGTTTTACTTCGCAACAACAAAACAATTCTGTAAAATTAAAATCCTACTGAGATGCACGATGTTTTTTGTGCGGGTCTGCATTTATTTATTACGTACATTACTGTTCGTAACTTCAAATGCGTAATTTATTTAGAAAAGTCGAAAATTCAGGTAATGTTTGTTTGGAAAAAGTTTCGCAAAAAAAAATGCATCTTTGACCTTCAATATCTCGAGAACCCGTGGAGTCCCAGCTATGGTCTTAAAGAACAAAATGATCCAAATAATGGGTAGAATACGTGGCTTTCGGCTTCGTTAAGTGTCTTTTTACACCCTGTATAAAAGTTACTTGAGGAATAATTAGGTTAGGTTGCTGACGCGTCAAAATGTTTGGTTTTGGTGCATTAGGGCTAATTCTTATTTTGGCAATCGGCTCTCTAATGGGCTACTTCACATTATGACTACTTCTCACTTGGGCTATTTCTATACATATTATAAAGAGGTAAAATTTGTAAGTTTGTATGTAGGGGGTAGGTAATCTTTAGAACCGCTGGTCGGATTTCCAAAATTCTTTCACTGATAGATAGCTACAATGTTCCTGGCTATAAAGCATCACGATCCGATTCAATGGAGCCGAGCAGCGAGTGAAACCGCGCGAGATTAGCTATATAGTATCTTATACTTTGTGTAAGACAGTGACAGCAACAATTTTATTCCACAGATAATATTTACATATCTATGTATCTGACTATTAAAAAGCCAGCCCTAAATTGAATAGGTACCTAACAGTGTGTAACTTTTCATACATTTTGTTTTATGTTGGTAAGTCAGGCCGATTCTGGTAAGACATCGAAGGCTAGTCTCAGTTGAACACCAATATCTGTTTTTTTTTCTTATGTAGTAGGTCGGCAAACGAGCAGGGGCCCGAGTCTACTATTTTCAAAGTGTTGTCAGTCCTACACGATTCCGTTGTCATTTTGCTAAAAGTTCGGACCTAATCTGTTAATTCAAAATGGCTGACCATTGGCTTTCGGCGATGTCGTAATAGAATTATAGTACGAGATGTCTTGTAACGAATTATAAACAATAACTGCACATTAATATTCTAAACGTAAATCATTGAATAAAGGAACTGACATTTTTTTATTAATTTACCGCATTATGTATTATCTTGTAAAATATATATTTATATTTTACGAGATTACCGTTCTAAAGAATTATTTCAATGAAGTGGGATTGGTTGATCATTGGAAAGTCATAAACGAGTAGCTCGAGTCATCCTTTGTTTGAAACCAATGATCTACTATTCTGACACTATTGTAATAGCAGACTCGATGCCAAAGAGTAAAGTAATAAAAGAGTAGCTCGAGGCCCTGGTGGTAAGAGACATCCTCCCAATTGACACCCGGAATTTTTTTCATCACATATGTATAGTAAGTAGGTACTACTTACTATAGGCGGCCTACATCGCTCGAAGGATGGACGGCCGATGGTCCCGAAAAGTACTCGAGTGGCGACCAAGGACCGGATGGAAAACGTATTGCACATCGTCATACTCGGAGGGCGGCAATGGATACAAGTGGCCAGATGTCGTTCGATGTGGAGGGCTCAACAGTGGACTGTGGACATCTTCCGGCTGATGATAATGACAGCAACGAATAAACAATACAAACGACACGGTTCATTAAAGAAAGGAATCTATAACGGTGGTGCTTTGCTTATTATGTTTTTCTCTCTCGCATACTAGTGCCGTCTATACTCATTCTCGCGCCTACCGTAGGCAGAAAAAAAATGTCATGACTTGCTTTCACAGGGTCTTGACGCGTTCCGTAACCATTTTTACAAAATCCTTGAGTTAGTTTTGTTATTTTTCCATTTGTTTTACCTATATTGTTTATTTTTGTTATTTAGACTGTGCAGAAGGTAAATTACCTATGTGTCCTTGAAAGCGGGGGAAGTTTATACATAATGGTACATGCCAGAATAGTCGAAATTCTGAATTAGTTTTTCCTAAAATATTTAAAGAATAAAACTTATTCCTAATCTGCCACCAGCATGCATTTTAGTTATGTATAACGCGTCATACAAGTTAAAAAAGCGCCAACATCAGCCGCCCGAAAGGAAGACATAAAAAAGTTTACGGACGAGAATAATATCGCATTTGAAAAATAGTTGACAAAAGCATAATTATTAGTCAGTTAAAAAAACTGTCTGAAAGCACGATAGTATATGTGGTTGACAAATATTTTTTATGGGATAGGTCGATAAACGAGCTGACGGATTACCTGATGGTTAGCAATCAGCGCCGCCCATGGAGTTACGAGCGCGTTGCCGGCCTTTTAGGGGATGAGGGTTTCGGATATTTAAGGATTGGGAAGGGATGGGGAGAGGGCTCTGGTAACTTTACTTACACGGCGACGACACTGTGGTTGTTTTACGCCGGTTTTCTGTGAGGCCGTGGTATCACTCCGGTCGAGCCGACCCATTGGTGCCGAATCCCACTACACTTCTTATTTTGTAATTTATCTTAATTTAGGGCTAATAATCCTTTCAGGAAGGAAGGGTCTAATAGGTAATAAAAGTATTAATAATCGTTTACATTTTTTAACCATTGGAAATCCTGCTTACACATAGACCAATGCCCACAGCAGTAATATTAAAATACAAAATATTTATATTTGAAATGTCAAAAGTATCCATATGACAACCAGTAGACCTCAATTAATCCACACTTTTCTTTGCTAAACTGACAATAAATTAATAATTATATAAAAAGTAATTTTGCAATTTTATTTAAATTACTACAACCCTTTCATAAGCATTAACATACAAACAATATTTTGAATCGGGACATCGGATTATACCTTATCATTAACTTGACTTGAGTTTTCGTTCGTGTCAAACAATCTTTAGTATTGATGGGAAACCACCGGGAGATTTCAATAAAAATGAATAATAGTGTTAAAACATCCTTTGCAACTATTTTCTTTCATGAATTATTGCATTTTTCAGATCAATATTTTTTTCAGCAATTTACCAAACCAAATCGATATTCACATGGCAACACTAGCCATTGCTGTCAAACAAATACCGTAAAAAATGTCTGAAAGAATTTGGCTTGCTATTTATGGCTTACCGAAAATTATAATTTTATTGTGTGAAATATAAAAAGTGTGTGTATAATGTGTATTTAAACAATATGGCTGCTTTTGAATATGTTGTGGTGAAACAAGAAATTGAGGACGTTAATGAATATGAAAATAACGAGTCTTCAGAGCCTGAAGAATCCAGGGAACTGCCTCAATCCGTGGAAATTAAATTGGAAATAGAAGTCCCACCCCCTGATATCAGGTAAATTATATAAAATAATTAAATTATAAAAAATACTAATGACGATTTTCTAGTATTTGTTCTGACCAAAATAATTGTTTATGCCGGCTATTTTTTTTTTAAATAATAACCCGCGCAATCTAGTTTTTCCGTCCACGAATTTGAAAATAATATAAACACCAAAAAGTACGTAAGTAATTCTAGAAATTAAATATTGATTTTAACTTGATAATCATTTCATTTTATGCTATACAGAGATCTTTAAATGCTGCATTAACTATTAAGCAAGTAATAATCAAATTAATAATTTTAAAAAACTATTTTTATGGTCCTAAAGAACCAATTTAAAAAATAATAATTGAATAGAAGGACCAGCAGAGTTGAATCCAGTTTGTTTTTCATAATTACTTCCTATTTCCCTTTTTTAAACTTTTCCTATGATAAAATTTCGAATTTCCGACATATATATTTAATGCTAATACTATTTAAAATATGATAGTAAATTAAGTAATTTCTCTTTTTATTTTAGCTCAGTGCTAAATTTTGTTCAGATTTATTAAGTAGTTTTTATGTGAAATAGTGACCATCTGAACTTACAAATTTTTTCTTTAGGAATATTAGTAGGATATTTCAGTGATTTGTGTAATATGTATAAAAATAGATTTTGCCCAAATTATTAGGTTTTTTTTCCCTAAATTGTTGCTCTATTATTTGAAATAGCATAGTATTGTTAAAATAAACTAAAGTCAAAGTCAAAACTCAAAAAGCAATGTATTGTTAAAATAAACTAAAGTCAAAATCATTTATTTCAATTAGACCCATACAGTCACTTTTGAACGTCAAACAAAATTTTAAAGATGTAAAGTGTCAGTCTGTCGGTCAGTCCTCTTAGTGAAGCTATTTGCTCGTTCCAAAGTGTAGATTCCGATGGAGAAGAACGAGCAAGAAACTCCATGGTTACTCTTTTTAAATCAGTTTCACATAAAGATTCTTTGATACATTATTTAGTTGGTAAGATGAATTTGTATACAAGACTATACTTAATCCTATTAAATTGTATGTTTTATCTCAGAAGGGCTGTAGGGTAAATGCCTAGTTTGTTTTTAGGGTAGAATGGTTCAGGTATATTGAAAATTCAAATGAGTAAGTCATTACTAACTCATATGAATTAGCTGAGAAAACATCACACATCTACTAGTTTCAAATTTCAATCTTTGGAACCGCTGGTCACATTGCCTTATTTCTTTCACTGATAGATAGCTACAATGTTCCTGAGTGCTATAGGCTATAAAACAACACGCTATGATAAAAATGGAGCTGAGCAGCGGGTGAAACCGCATGAGAGTAGCTAGTTGTTACTCTCATATCTTTAATGAATGAGAGTAACAAACATCCACACATCCATACTTACTTAAAAAAAATCGCATTTCCTTGCATATTTTCTTACAAATCCTTTAATCAGATTAACTTCTGTCCAGTGACTTAAAAAACATACATAACAATACAACTTTCAAACCTTTTAGGAATGAGCTTTCTCAGTTTTAAAAGGCGTGCAACGCATCCTATAAGTGTCCACCACTGAGCAAAGGCCTCTCACGCACACGGAGAAGGTTAAAGCATTAACCACCACGCTTGCTCAAGGCGGATCGGCGATTTCAAACTTCAATTAGGATTTATAAGATCAAATTTAGAATTAGAAATTATATGTCCAGTTTTCCTCACGATGTTTTCCTTCACTGTATCGTAAGTCAGTGGTGTCTAAATAATCATAGAAAGTACATACATATAACTCGGGAAAAGTCAAGTATTTGCCATGAGGAAAACCACCATGATATTTCCAAATCCTACTACTTACAAACTTATCTATAAACATAACACATTGTTTGGCGTTATTTACCGCGACAATATATCTAACATTTGAGTATAGTGTTTAAAGTTATGGGAAAACCACAAAAGCGATTATTTGAAGCCATTCGGTTTCCTGTCGCTTCCAAACGTTTAATATTTTTATGGATAGTGAGGTAAACAGCCTGTTCCTGTTCACATGGTAACAATTAATCAGCTCATCATCAGACAACTTGCAAGGTCATAGCCCACTCACAAGGAGATGGTAAGGCACAATGGCAAGTCTGCGGACAGAACCAGACCCGAGCGGGGAATGGGGGACAAGCAACAAGCTCAGGTTTGGAGCAAGCAAAATAAATGCTATGCTGTTAACAAAAAAGTCTGTTGTTGAACCGCCTTCGTTTTTTATGTCAGGCACTAAGATAAATCTCGTAGACGAGATAAAGCTCTTAGGACTCACCATAGACAGAAAACTCACCTTTAGGTCGCATATATCCGCAACATGCAAAAAAGCTGCAGATTTTTATAAACGACTATCACGCGCAGCTTAGGTGTTATAGGGTCTTAATGGGGAAATAACAAGAACTATTTACGTCTCGACCATTGAGCCTATTATACTTTATGCCGCAAGTGTGTGGGCCCCAGCGACGGTGCTAGAATTAATTAAAAAGCAGCTAAACGCTCTTCAAAGGGGATTCGCACAGAAAATCTGCAGGGCTTATTGTACAGTGTCGCTCACATCAGCAACGGTTTTGTCAGGTACGCTTCCACTCGACTTGAGAGTCCAGGATTGCGCCAGTTTGTATCGAACCAAAAGAGGTCTGTCTGGACACCTGGGATGGAGTTATGGAGTTTCTTGCTCGTTCTTCTGCATTCGAATCTACAATTTGGAATGAGCACCTAGCTTCACTGACGAACAGACTGACAGACTACTTTTCTATTTTGATGTTTCAAAAGTACCTATTTATGGTTTAGTTGGAATAAATGATTTTGACTTTGACTTTGAAGGAGCTAGAAAGGCAGGTGCATTACGTGGATCAGCCACATCTGTCCAGGTTGATGGCTGTCAGATATGGGCTCCTGGAAAGTGGTGAGTCTGGATCTCTTCCCATCCATGAAATTGTCGGCCCTCATATATACACAGATGGCAGCAAAATTGATGGAGGCGTCGGTTCTGTCTTGACTTGGTGGGAGGAGGGACGGGAGTTAGCGTTTTCCACTTTTAGTCTTGACACTTCCTGCACAGTTTCCCAATCAGAACTGTATGCTTTGAACAGAGCGGCTAAAATGGTTCGAGACAGCAGGGCAACAAGAGTTAACATCATGAGTGACTCTAGATCTAGAGGAATGAGGAGGTTTTAGGATTGCAAAACAGCACGCTGTGTTTGGTTCACGCCGGTTTTCTTTAAGGCCGAGATCGAACTCCGGTCGAGCCGACCCATTCATGCCGAAGCATGGCTCTCCAGCACTTCTATATATCTCCCTTGCTGCGATGTTATTGTTTGTGTACCGCGAGCGTGTGTCGGCACGGATCGCTCGCGCATTCGGCTTAAAAGTTTTGTTATAAGTAGTGTTGTTAAGTTTTATTAGTTATGTAGTGTGTGAAGTGTAGTGAAGTTTTGTTGTAGAAATTGTGCGAAATTACTACCTAGGTACGTTTAGCGCGCGTGATTATGGGGAGATGATAATGTGTTGTAGTAGTGTAGGTATCCTGACCGTCGCCATCCATCAGACTCCAGGATAATTACTGGTGACTATCAACGCTTGCTAGAAAACCAGCCCATTGTTCCCAGACAAAAAGGCGCCGGAAGACCAATACCTACGTGGATTTTGGAATTGGTTCGCTAACGTAAGGAGACGCTACCACTTACCAGTGCTTTTCTATTTAAACGTAGTTTAGGTAGGTTTGGACCGCAACCGTGGCCAGCACGATCCCCAGACCTAACCCATTTGGACCCCTTTTTGTGGGGTTACGTAAAAGAAAAAGTGTTTGTGAGTGCGTGTGCAAGTGAGTACGAAATGCGAGACCGCATCACAAATGCTTTCCAGAGCCGGAAACCGGAGCGATTCTAAGGTACCTACGCATTTTTCTTTTTTTATCATTTATCAGTTACCATGTTATGATTGTTAGATTTTTTTTTGTAAGTAATGCAGCTATCTTTTAAATAATAATTTATTGTTATTAAAACGTGGCGCGAGCGCGATTATTACATTGTCTTTTGTAAGTAATGCGGCTATCTTTTAAATAATAATTTATTGTTATTAAAACGTGGCGCGAGCGCGACCGTTTGTCCGAAAGGTAAGGTCGCGGCGCTGCCCATAGTGTAAAGTAATAATACTAAAAGCGCTGCCGTTCGCTGCGTGCGTTTGCGGTGGTAGCGATACATTGCGTGTAAGGTAATGAAACAAATCGGTTTAATTGGATTCCCATAACGTTCCTGAAATAATTTCATGTACCGGTCAACTTAAGACGATATACTGAATCCACCCTATCAGTTTGCGGAAGGCTGTCCCTTACACCCTGTATATGGATGGACACCCGCAACGGAGGAGTTAAGAGTGCGTTGCCGACCTTTAAGGGATTTGGATTTTTAGGGATTGGGTGAAGGCAAAGATTGGGCTTCCGGTAACCTCACTCACACGGCGAAACACAACGCTGTGGTTGTTTCACGCCGGTTTTCTGTGAGGCCGTGGTATCATTCCATTCGTGCCGAAGCATGGCTCTCCCACGCAAATTAGGTACTTATTAACAACAAAAACTTACAAAAAAAAGAATTTTATTATCATTAGGTTTATTATACAATAAAAATTATATATAAGTAATCACTAGAAAAGTATGGCAAATTATATTATAGGTAAAATAAATTACTTATAGCATGTTTTGAGATGGTCAGGACGAGTTCTTTTTTATCATTCGTCCTTTTTAAAAAAAAGGTCTTATGATAAAAGAGGTTTTTATTTTTCATTTTAGACGGTCCTTCGTCCTCGTATCTGGCAGCACATGAATAATCCGAAGATAACGCAGATACACTGAAAAAGAAAAAAAAAAAATTATTAATTAGTACCATGTCTCTGTATTTTTTAAGTGTGGGAGAGCCATGCTTCGGCACGAATGGGTCGGCTCGACCGGAGTGATACCACGGCCTCACAGAAAACCGGCGTGAAATAACCATAGCGTTGTGTTTCGCCGAGTGAGTGAGGTTACCGGAGGCCCAATCCTTCCCCTTCCCCAATCCCTCCTCAATCCCTAAATCTCCAAATCCCTAATCCCTAAAAGGTCGGCAACGCACTCGTAGCTCCTTCGTTGCGAGTGTCCATGGGCGGCGCTGATTGCTTACCATCAGGTAATCCGTCTGCTCGTTTGCCGACATATTACATAAAAAAAAAAATTCCTTCAGGTTGGTCTTATACCCACTATGGGATTATTCAACAGATACCAAATAGCAGCGTTTAACTTGTATTTCGTTGTTAAGATAGTTTTCTCAATGAAAAATAAATTATATTTATATCGATTGATGTTGTATAAAAAAAAACTTTTGCCCGCAACTCCGTTCGCGTGGAATAGTGACTTCCTGCAGATTTTTGGTATAAAAGCTATCCTATGTCCTTTCTCGAGTTTCAAACTATGTCTGTACCAAATTTCACAGAAATCGGTTCAGTAGTTTAGGCGTGAAGAAAAGACAGACTGAGTTACTTTCGCATTTATAATATTAGTTTAGATTCTTGGCAATTTTTTGTACAATTGACTAGTTGGAAACTACCCCAATCCTACCTAACTAACAGGCTACCTAATAAAGTCTAGTTAGTTTATCTCCGTAGCAAATTTCATCGAAAACGGTCCAGCGATTTATGCGTTAAAGCGTGACAGACAGACAAACAGTTCTTTTTACAGTTATAGTAATTAAATAGTGGCGAAGTTGAACGGTTTTATCTTCTTTATTATTATTTATTATAATTAAGGACCGGCTTTGCACGGGTGCCATGCTGACACTAGAGATTTCCACAATTTAATTTCGTTTGGCGTTCAAAAGTGCCTGTAAGTGTCGAATTTAAATAAATGATTTTGACTTTAATTTTGCATAACTACGTCCAATTTGAGTCTTGTGTGAATTCTGCTAAAGAGACGCACCGAACTAAGGGCGTGAGTGCACAATCGTGGGTATCTCACAGACGGAATTAAATAAAAGAAAATTTAAAATTTAGAAAACACCCGACAAAAAATCTAATATTCTTTTAAAAAGTAATAATTAAAAGAAAATGCGGCTTTGGGGGGACCGATCCATACATTTTATTATCAACTACATATTTCTATTTTGTCGGGGGTCTAATTTATATTTTTATTTTATACTTTTTATATCATTTCCTCTCGATTAAGTCGTCAACATTCCCTTTCAGTGCGCTTTCATTTGAGACCCCACTCGAGTATATTTGCAGACCTTCGGTTACCCTTCCCCACTTAGCCCCCCATAACTTCTAAACCGCTCAACCGATTTTCGTCAAACATGTCTAAGAACACTCGCACGTAAGTCACCTTTAATACAAATTTGATTGAAATCGCTTCACCCGTTCAGGCTCCAGGATGCCACAGACAGACAGACAGACAGACACGTCAAACTTATAACACCCCTAATTTTGCGTCGGGGGTTAAAAAAGTCTTACCTCAACAATGATAACGACGACTAGCACCCCACCAATGGCTTCTCCGAAAGTGTCGAAGTAATCGCTGACCTTATCAACGCAGCCACTGAATGCGTTCGTAGTACTGCACTGTTGTGGCGGTTGGGCGTTAGGGTTGGGGCAACAAGAAGCCGGTATTGGCCGACCATCAACCAAATACGACGATGTTCCATTCGTACCACAACATTGGAACTGAAATTCAAAAAATGGTCGTTAAAAATAAAATTTATGAAACATACACATCATCATTGAGGGATTGGAACTGTTTGCCGGCTGCAGTCTTTCCGTCCGAATACAATTTAGGTGTCTTCAAGGCTAGAGTGAATAGGCTCTTAATAAACTAGTGCGCCTTACCATCAACGATTGCATCACTGCTTACCATCAGTTGGGATCGCAGTCAAGCACTAGTTTATTGCAATTAAAAAAATATATATCTGCCTATAAGTGCCCACTGCTGAGAGAAGATCTCTTCTCACACGGAGTCTTGACCATTAACCACCACGCTTGCTCAAGGCGGATTGGCGATTTCAAGGTTTTCTCACGATGTTTTCCTTCACCGTATGTCAGTGGTGTCTAAAATAATCATAGAAAGTACATATAACTCGGAAAAAGTCACATTGGTACTTGCCAGGTTTCGAGCCCGCACCCTCATGTAAGAGGCTGCCGAGCTTTTGCCGGAGTCTGTGTTCCTCGAAGGGTATAACCTGGGTTTCTTCAAGGCCCGAGTGAATAGGTTGCTTATAAGTAAACGTGCTCCATCGTAGGTCGCATCATTGTTTACCTACCACCAGGCGTAATAGCGGCCAATTACGAAATAAAAGGAAATAATACTGACCAACATCTCCATGCCTTGGTAGACAGGTCGCAGGTCTTCGTTGTTAAAAGCAGTATTCAGCCATCTTGATATGGTATCCATGGTGTGCCCAAGGAAGGAGAATATCACCACCGTTATGTATATCTTAATTGCGGCCAGTATTGCCATGCAAGCTGCGTACTGAAAACAGAAGAAATTTCATTATATAAAGTGTGGGAGAGCCATCCTTTAGCACGAATAGGTTAGCTCGACCGTAGTGATACTACGGCCTTACAGAAAAACAACCATGGCGTTGTGTTTCGCCGTGTGAATGAGGTTACCGGAGGCCTGATCTCTCCCCTCCTCTAATCCCTCCTAAATCCCAAAATCTCCTAATCACTAAGCCCCAAAAGGTCAGCGACGCCCTCACAACTCCTCTGTTTTGTCCACGGGTGGCACTGATTGCTTACCATCAGGGAATACGTCTGCTCGTTTGCCATTTTATCACATTATGACGGCAGGAAGGCTGCCAATATCAGCCAGGGTTGCGGGGCAAACGACATAAGATACCGCGGCCTCAGTATAGGGCAGAAAGAACAGAGGTTTTAAGTCAGTAAGAGTCTGACACTACCTCTAGCCATTTTTTTTGTTAAAAATTCATCATCATCAGCCTATAAGTGCCCATTGCTGAGCAAAGGCCCCTTCTCACACGGAGAAGGTTTGAGCATTAATCACCACGCTTGCTCAATGCGGGTTGGCGATTTCAAGCTTATAATTAGACATTATAAGTCGAGGTTTCCTCACGATGTTTTCCTTCACCGTATGTCAGTGGCGTCTAAATAATCATAGAAAGTACATAAATATAACTCGGAAAAAGTCACATTTGTACTTGCCAGGTTTCGAACCCACGCCCTGATGCATGAGAAGCAGGCTCCTTAACCCCCGGGCCACCACTAAACGATTTTTGTTAAAAATCATTTAATGCATTTTATTTAACTTCTCTAAGTTTCTCTATGTATAATCAATTTGATCCTTTCCTTAATAATAATATTGGCTCACGAGGTTGTTGGCATGTGGAGTGTGGACTCGGCTATCATTGTGCCGATAGTTGTGTCGGCAAATGCGTAAGCCCACCAAAGCTTCGACAACCACCTTAAGAGGCTGACGTTAGGCGGATGGATCAAGGACCTCATACAGAAGGCAGTCCTCATTGAAACGGCACGTTTTGTGAGGAGATTTCTGTCTCTGGAGCCCTAACCACCGGTGGCTTGGACCTTGCTCCCGCTGCCGGCTGGCTCCTATTTTAATATTTTTAAATATTATCCTATTTTCTTTTAAAGTAATATTTAAAAATGTAATTTTAGAGTTATTTTAAGAAATATGTAAAATATTTCTTACAGTTAGCACTTTTAAATAATTATAAGCTGACAGCTATCTTAACTTCAGAATTTTTACCGTTCTGTTCCGTTCCTAATTTGAGCTATATGCATGTCGAATTCTATCACAATCGGTCGGTGGTTTCTGCGTTGGAGCGTACCAATTAACAGTATTTTTTATGCAATCTCTAGAAATTAATAATTTGTATGTAACAGTTTTTATTTTGCGATTTTTTTGTTTGTCGGTTATTGTTTAGGAAAAGTAATCATTAACGACATTTTTTCCGTAGGTAATTCTCGGCACTATAGTCAGAATTTTAATTCGATTCCAGATTTGACATTTGATTTTGTGAAATAATGATATCACGTATAACAGTGTAGTGATGAACACAAAAATCGATTAACTACAGAATCAGTTACAGGAAGGCATTCAACAAATAAGGGCTACCGAATGGTTTAAATGCGTATCCTATTTTGTCAAAGAAGGAAAAAATGAGTAAGCTAGATACCTATGTTAATTGACAATAAATATCACAAACACAATTCATAATAAATGTTACAGAAAATAACAGCGATAGCGATAGCTATGACGACGATAATTTATAAAATAAATTATTACCATAATAGATCACATTTTTTATTAATTTCACACACAATTATAAAAGAAACGTATCAGATCGTTAATTAATTGTCAAAACAAAATTATCGGTTCAGAAATATTAAATTTCCTGATAAATTTAGTTTACGAGAGTAAATTTATAAACGAAAGTAATCGATTCGGAAATATTTGTGGGACAGATACAACAGAAACAGTGTGGGAGAGCCATGCTTCGACACGAATGGGTCGGATCGACCGGAGTGATATTACGGCCTCACAGAAAACCGGCGTGAAACAACCACAGCGTTATGTTTCGCCGTGTGAGTGAGGTTACCGGAAGTCCAATCCTTCCCCTTCCCCAATCCCTCCTCAATCCCTTAATCTCCAAATCCCTATTCCCTAAAAGGTCGGCATCGCACTCGTAACTCCTCCGTTTTGGGTGTCCATGGGCGGCGCTGATTGCTTACCATCAGGTAGTCCGTCTGCTCGTTTGCCGACATATAAAAAGAAAGCTGACTCTCTCACACTTATGGTTTTGCTCTGATCATGCTTAGCTTAGCTCTCCTACACTCATAATTTAAGTATAACACACTGTTGATTCCCTAAATCCAAAGTTATCCATACTAATATTATAAAGAGGGAAAATTTGTAAGTTTGTATGTAGGGGGTAATCTTTGGAACCGCTGGTCGGATTGCCCAAATTCTTTCACTGATAGATAGCTACAATGTTTCTGAGTGCTATAGGCTATCAAACAGCCCGCTACTATCAAATGGAACCCAGCAGCGGGTGAAACCGCGCGAGAATAACTAGTAATCCATAAAGGCAATGGTCCATACCATGTCCGTGAATGACTATCCGGATATCCGCAGAGACAATTGAATAACTTGCTTTTACATGACGATGAAGTTTTTTATCGACAAGAGGCTAAGAAAAGGGTGGATTAGCAAATAGCTTTTGCCCGTGACTTTGTTCGCGTGGAATAGTGATTTCCTGCATATTTTTGTTATAAAAACTATCCTATGTCCTTTCTCGAGTTCCAAACTATGTCTGTACCAAATTTCACACAAATAGGTTCAGTAGTTTAGGCGTGAAGAAAAGACAGACAGACAGAGTTACTTTCCCGTTTATAATATTAGTTTGGATTGGTACTCAATAAACTGATAAAATATCATCCCACATATTATGATTTGAAATATGTATAATGTGACGTCACGACCCAGTATATTTTATATCGAGCGGCAATGCCTTATCAAATACTGTTTTCCTTATATGACTAAGTAAAAAAAACGTGTCTGATATTTTTCCATAATTTAATCGCTGGATGAATTAGATTTTAGTCATTTTATGTCATGGATCCGCTTTTAGAGTTCCATTTTATCTTAAAGATTACTATCTGATCCTTTTTTTAGATATTAGCTAGCTATGCTGTATTAGCTATTAGTAAGTAATCTTCGAATAGATTTTTAAGCGTGTATATGTGTCGATATCAATCTTCACCTTAAAGTTAATCCAAATCTCTATAAAACTTATTTTAATTTTGCCTTATTTGATCTCGTAGACATTATTCTCTTTATAACGTCAAAAACACGCGTGTTTCATGGATAGGACTATAATCGATAGCAGCGCCATCTACAGTACCCAAAAAGGTAGATGTATTTAAAATTCTGCCTAGAGTTAAGTTGTAACTTGGCTCTATAACAGCGATAAAATATCCGAAATTGAGGTTTTTAACTGTACGTTTGCTACTGATTGAATGGATAGGGCTTAACTCGATACTAGCGCCATCTATTGAACGTAAAAACTAAACCCGATCTTAAAATAAAGTTTCAAAAATAGTGTGACATCTAAATTAATTTTATACCGAAAGTCCAGAGTACTTAGGTATATAATACAATACATAGAATACCTAAATTTTATCAGTTTGATAAGTTAAACTGTTTATTTACTTTGTGATTTCGGGTAAGTCTTATCTCAAATAGATAATATTAATCTGACAATATCTACCAATATAGCGGTTTTGTATCTGATGATTCACACTTTGTACTCAGCGGTGCATTGTAAACTTAGTCTTAATTGAAACAAGGTACAAATACGTGTGTGGCCTAGACAGTCAACCTCGCTACATCCTTGTTGACTGGACATCTACACTACATGAGCTGCTGTTTACATGTGAACATTAGCTCATGACGATACCTAAGTACGTGTGTCGCCTGGACAGTCAACCTCGCTACATCCTTGTTGACTGGACATCTACACTACATGAGCTGCTGTTTACATGTGAACATTAGCTCATGACGATACCTAAGTACCTACGTGTGTCGCCTGGACAGTCAACCTCGCTACATCCTTGTTGACTGGACATCTATACTACATGAGCTGCTGTTTACATGTGAACATTAGCTCATGACGATACCTAAGTACGTGTGTCGCCTGGACAGTCAACCTCGCTACATCCTTGTTGACTGGACATCTACACTACATGAGCTGCTGTTTACATGTGAACATTAGCTCATGACGATACCTAAGTACGTGTGTCGCCTGGACAGTCAACCTCGCTACATCCTTGTTGACTGGACATCTACACTACATGAGCTGCTGTTTACATGTGAACATTAGCTCATGACGATACCTAAGTACGTGTGTCGCCTGGACCGTAAACCTCGCTACATCCTTGTTGACTGGGCATCTACACTACATGAGCTGCTGTTTACATGTGAACATTAGCTCATGACGATACCTAAGTATGTGTGTCGCCTGGACAGTCAACCTCTCTACATCCTTGCTGACGAGACATCTACAAGACTCGCTAAATATTATAAACAAATATCTCTTGAAGATACTTTTAGTACGCTTGTCCTTCGTCACGACATTCTTAACATTCTTGTCAACTAGATAACATCTATACTACAATAGCTCTTAACAATGTTTAAGTGCGTGCGTCGCCTGGAATGTCTATACTTACATACTTGTAAACTGATCTGACGATGAGAGCCTTGTTATTTATGGAACTATTTAGAGTAAGTACTCCTACCCTCTGACTGAAAAGTAGCGTGAAGTGGTGATTAACGTTTCTACCTGCAGATTGATAAATGAGAGTTCCTAGTGGTTAAACCAATATTTGAATGTCTTTCGACACGAATGCGATGGCTTTAATAAAAACTTCCGTATATGGTCTGTAAAGTCTGGTGTACGACTACGGTGCTCATCTCCCCATCTGCTGTGCCGTAAACTTTACCAATAGTTTCATGGGAAAACTTAACGTGTTTGGTTACCGGAAGCCTAATTCTCCCGTTTCCCTAAGTACTAGCTACACTTTTATGTCCAAAATGCCAGAAACGCACTTATAACTCCTATGGTATTGCCGGGATTGCGGGGCAACCGCAATAAGGAACCGCTGCCTCAGCCCAGAGCAGGAGAAGAAACGGAGGGGTTTTTAGTCAGTAAAAGTTTGGCACACCCTACCGTTCCACGGAGAAGTCAATTGATAACTTTCTTCACACAAAGAAGATCCCTATGGAATTGATCTGTCTGGACTTGTTCCATAATGAAAAAGGTACTTACGAAACCCAGCATGCATTTTGATTCCCTGATGGCACCGCAGCAGGCACAGAATGCTATAACGAAGACGATGCATCCTATTACGATGACGGAAATGGTCAGCACCCTAATGTCGATGATCTGGTAGAAATCACTCAAGTTGACGTGGACTGCTGTGCCCAAACCGATGATCGCCAAACCGGCGAGCTAGAAGTAGAAAAAAAATAAGTTAGTGTTGTGTAAACCAGTTTAACTTGACCGTCGAATGTGCTCACGGATCATACAAAGCGAGATCATGATGAACTGGGTTATCTATAAATTGAATGTGTTCAAGAAATAGAAAGGCTTTATTCATGTTCTATGCTTTACACAAGTAAATATTTGGCGCGATTTTTCGACTGGTTTCAAGCCACGATAAGGGTTCATAACTATGCTTAAATCTACCACGACAAACTTTTACGTAAGTAAGCAGTGAAACACGATTGGTTATGGTTAGTTCCTGTGATATATTATGCCACAAGAAAACTAAAAGAAAGAATTAAATTATAAAAAATTACACACACGAAAGAGATTTTGATATACTTAGGAAATTATTATGCAATAATTCTGTAATTATTTTCGTCAAAAAGGTTTGTCTACATTTAGCCAGAGTTTATCAAGACGTTTTTCTTTATGTTTCGTCTTAGGAAATTGGTTTGAAGGTAAAATTATCGCTACTGATAAACAAAGACTTTTAGTAGGTAGATTGATGTAGCGGATAGGTGGTCTTTATACATAAATACTACATACATACCTACCAATAACATAAAATCACAAAAACATCTTCCTTTACATCCGTGACCCACGCAAATAGCTCCACCGCCGTACATTTCAAATAATAATTTAGAATAAACGCAAACCTATCGAGCGAAAAAACGCACATACGTCCGCGTGCCACGACGGTCAGCGGTCAACTGACATTTTCGTCAATTAGGTTTATCAAAGGAAGGTAGTTCAAAAACAAAACATCTATAGTACCTTCCTTAAATTTTGAAATGCATATGCATGTTCTAGGGACATTATTCACACATTTTTCTTTTTCTTTATATCTTTATAAGAAAAAGTTGCCCCACATTAAGATTTTCTACTGTTTCGTGGGCACAAACATACAAATTTACATACACTTACCACCAGACTAGATGTGTATGTGAAATTGTATGTTTCTAAAAGCACCCACGACACAGGAGAAAATGCTAGTGTGGAGTAAAGTTAAAAAAAAATACTTGAAAACAGCTTTCAAGTCACAGATTTCGTTGGATGACTTGAAAAGTTGAAACTCGTATGGTTTCATTACTTCACATGAGTAAGCCGTGTTACAATTAATTTAGAATTTCTCACGTCAATTTTAACAAAAAAGGTTAAGCTCAAGCTTGAATAAAATGTTTTTTTAAACAGAGCTTGGATCTGACTACGCAATGAATTCGAGTGTAGTTCAGGACGCAACAAAAGAGACTGTTATTATTTTTTTCTGTTGGAAAAATCTTTATATCTGTATTTCTAATGATGTTTTACTATAATAACTTACTATCATACGACATTGAAAATAACTTAACCAGCTTCAATTCACGCAGGTGAGGAAGCCGCGATTCGCTCGCAGCTCCATTAAAAAGCGTCCGTTTGTGATTTGAAACTAATAGAGCTTTTCTCAATTGATTCCAGTGAATAAGTCTTCATTTTCAATGAATCTGTTAATGATTTTGATAGTGGTAAATTTAAAATGAATATAAATAAAAATAAAACTCACGGCGAAAACAATGTTGACAATGATCAACACATATTTGACGATGAATTCCGCTAGGCAACACATTCTGTCTTCTTTCACTATTCTCCTTTAAAAAACGTTTCAGTCTGTTCGTCCTTAACCATTTACTAACATTATATTTAACATCGCCCAGCTATAAGTGGTAAGATTAGATTATTGATAAAATACACGATATCGTCTGATAAAAGTTTAAGTATAGCCGAAATTAATGTTCACTGTACAGGTTTTGCTCGCGATTTTTTTTATGTGTTTGCAACAGACGGATTACCTGATGGTAAGCAATCGCTGCTTGTAGACACCAAGAACAACAGAGGAGTTCAGAGTCCGTTGCTAGCCTTTTAGGTTATAGGTTTCGGAGACTTAGTGATTGGGGTTGAATTGGGGAAGCATTGGGCCTCAGTAATCTTATTCATGCGGCGCTATAGTTGTTTCACGCCGGTCTTCTAAGAAGTCATGGTGTCACTCCCGTCGAGCTGACCCATCCGTGCCGAAGCATGGCTCTCTCACACTTAAAATAATATATGTATAACTTTTCGTTTATGTGGAATTCTTAGGGCGTTTTTTGGGACCAATGTCTTTTCTTAATGTTTATTGTTCTCTCGTTCCTGCCCATGTGGTCAAAATCATGATAAATTATATATACCTTTATCTTTCTTAGAAATCACGTTGTATATTGGTGGAAAATACACAAAATACCCGCTAACTATTAATTTTATCGCATTCGCATGACTAAGAAAAGAGACTTCTTGTTATCACTACATAGTATAAAACTAAGTCGCTCCCCCGGTCCCTAGAAATGCTTACATATTTAAAACTATGCAACGGATTTTGATACCGTTTTTTTAAATGATTTTCGAGACAGACATGTACGGGACATGGTAGTGTCAGCATGTTACTGACTAAACCCCCCCCCCCCCCCCCCCGTTCCTTCTCCTGCTCTCGGTCGAGGCTGTGATGCCTCATAACCCTGACTGAACATTAGCCCTACAGGACCCGAGGCGAGCGCAGATCGCTACGCACCATACGCTCGGGTCTGGTTCTGGTCGGGCGGCGAGTTGCCCTTACCTGCTATCCGCAGACCCTCGCTTATGGTGGCCGGAGATCGTCACGAACAGAATTTTTAAATGTTTAATAACATCCATTAAATAGTGCACTTTAGTATTATCATTGGACCCGATCGAAGACGGGGCGGGTCGCTAGTGTTGTATAAAAGTGAAACAACATTTACATTGTGTTTCGCAGTGTGAGTGAGGTTACCGGAGGCTCAATCCATCCTCCCCATCCTTAATCCTCAAATAATAATGATAGGGGATCTTTAAATCCATAATTACCCACAAGAGGTCGGCAACGCACTTGTAGTAACTCCTTTGGTATGACGAGTGTCCATGGGCGGCGCTGATTGCTTACCATCAGGTACCTACCTAATCAGTCTTGTCGTTGCTGTAAGAACTTGAAGAAATCCTAACTTGATTCTCACCTCACAATTAACAAGGTATTTTAGTTTTTATTACTTAGGAAAAGCCCGCAATCACATCAATAAAGTACATCAAAATAATATGATTCATGCATACACGAACAACAACAATGACTCAATCGATATCAGTAACATAATTGTTATAGCAATAAGTACTGATAATTATAAAATTATGAGTTTCGTATATTGTACCACCCACCCAAAAGCTCCTGTTTACATGTGAACATTAGCTCATGACGATACCTAAGTACGTGTGTCGCCTGGACAGTCAACCTCGCTACATCCTTGTTGACTGGACATCTACACTACATGAGCTGCTGTTTACATGTGAACATTAGCTCATGACGATACCTAAGTACGTGTGTCGCCTGGACAGTCAACCTCGCTACATCCTTGTTGACTGGACATCTACACTTCATGAGCTGCTGTTTACATGTGAACATTAGCTCATGACGATACCTAAGTACGTGTGTCGCCTGGACAGTCAACCTCGCTACATCCTTGTTGACTGGACATCTACACTACATGAGCTGCTGTTTACATGTGAACATTAGCTCATGACGATACCTAAGTACGTGTGTCGCCTGGACAGTCATTCCATACATCTCGTAATAAAGCGGTAATTAATTGTGCAATTTGTTACCTTATCGATAATAATTTTATCATTATTAACAATAATCCGTGTTTTATTCTTTTCTACATCTTTTCCTTATTCGTATCAGTATATTTGGAGCAAAATATTTATTATCTTACTTATAATATGGAATTGATAACAACTATCAAATATTACGAGAACAATGACTGAGTGTAATTAATTAAAATAATAATGACTATGATTAATTATTGGACGTGTGTGTAAATGAGAAAAGGGTGGCTTATTTCATTACCCAACGGTGATAGGGAACACCAGCTGGGGTTGTGTGCAAAATAATTTACCGCGTCCCCAATCAGGAGCAGGTGAAACAATGTGAAGGTTTTTAAAATAATATACCGCGTCCCGTGTGTCGTGGTGGCCCGGAGGTTAAGGAGCCCGCTTCTCATGCATGAGGGTGTGGGTTCGAAACCTGGCACGTACCAATGTGACTTTTTTCGAGTTATATGTAACTTTCTATGATTATTTAGACACCACTGACATACGGTGAAGGTAAACATCGTGAGGAAACCTGGACTTATAATTTCTAATTATAAGTTTGAAATCGCCAACCCGCATTGAGCAAGCGTGGTGATTAATGCTCTAACCTTCTCCGTATGAGAAGACGCTTTGCTCAGCAGTGGGCTCTTATAGGCTGATGATGATGATGATGATGAATGATACCGCGTCCCCAATCAGGAGCAGGTGAAACAATGTGAAGGTTTTTAGTCAGTAAGAGTCTGACACTCCCTCTACCCCCACCCTGGGCAAGAGAAGTCATTTGATGATTTTTTCCTTGTAAGTGTGGGAAAGCCATGCTTCGGTACGAATGAGTCGGCTCGACCGGAGTGATACCCTCGGAGTGATACGGCCTCACAGAAAACCGGCGTGAAACAACCACAGCGTTGTGTTTCGCCGTGTGAGTAAGGTTACCGGAGGCCCAATCCTTCCCCACCCCCAAGCCCTCCTCAATCCCTAAATCTTCAAATCCCTAATCCCTAAAAGGTCGGCAACGCACTCGTATCTCCTCCGTTGCGGGTGTCCATGGGCGGCGCTGATTGCTTACCATCAGGTAATCCGTCTGCTTGTTTGCCGACTTATTAAATAAAAAAAAAACCCTCACGAAAGTCTCCAGACTCCAGATATAGTAAGTTTCTACCGTCGGTTCTATCCATAAGGAGAGAGGGAGTCATGAAGATTTTTGCAGGTCGTACTTTAGAAAAGAGGACTAGTGTGTGGAGTGGTATGAAAGAGAAAGGAGGTTGTGATGTGATGACGACTGATAGGGGAGGATGGTTGAAGATATATTGTGTCGACCAAGAGTAACTTGGGAATGAAGATCCTGTAGCTTATTTGCGAGACTCCCTGAAGAGAAACGATGGAGTAAGTTAATCTTACTAATATTATAAATGCGAAAGTTACGATGTTTGGATGTTTGTTACCCAATCACGCCAAAACGGCTGGTCGGATCTGGATGAAATTTGACACAGAATAGGATACATTCCGGTATAGGACTTTTTATCAACATACCATGCGGGCGAAGCCGCTGGCGGAAACTAGTCATAAAACAGCACTTTTACCCGCCAACATCACTACATAGTATAAAACAATGTCGCTTTCTCTGTCCGTATATCCACTGTACGCTTCTTTAAATCTACGCAAGGGATTTTGTCACGGTTTGTTAATAGATACGAGTGATTGAAGAGAAATGTTTATATGTACCATAGAGTATCTTGCTCGTTCTTCTCCATCGGAATCTACACTTTGGAACGAGCAAATAGCTTCACTAAGGAGACTGACCGGCAGACTGACACTATAACTTCAAAATTTTGTTTAACATTCAAAAGTGCCTGTAAGGGACTAATTGGAATAAATGATTTTTTACTTTTGTATAATAACATCCATTAAGCAGCGGAGCAGTATTGCACCCATGCAAGCAAGATTTGGATTTATGCTGAGCGCTGTCTCTTTCCCACAAGGGGATGCAGATGCAGCGTATTTTGTTTATGGTGTTTCTTATTCTCTATATTCTTTGTTGCAGCATAAAAAAAGAAGTGCAAGATGAAGATGAAACTCCCTACGAGCCCCCTGCACCTCTGCCGCCACCCAGCTACCACATGGCTGCTGCGGGGCCGCCAGACAGAGCCTCACAAAACCCTGCCCCAGAACCGAATGTGCTGTTTGTCAAATCTGAACCAGATTGCGTGAGTATCTTTTCTTCTATACTTATATTATGAGCTAAAGTTTGTAACTTGTATGTTTTTTGTGAGGGGAAAATCATCCAATGACTTCTCCCGTCCAGGGTAAAGCGAGAGAGAGTGTCAGACTGTTACTGACCGAGGTCGCGGTGCCTCATTGCGCTTACCCCTCCACCCCGGCTGAACATCAGCCCTATAGGGCCCCGTCTGTGGTGGTCTATTGGCTCTTTGAGGAGCGCGCGGAACGCTACGCGCCGTACGCTCGGGTCTGGTTTTGGTCGGGTGACGAGCTACCCTTACTCGCCGTCCGCAGACCCGCGCTTACGGTGACGTATGTAGGGGGTAATCTTTGGAACCGATGGTCGGATTTCCAAAATTCTTTATAGATATTTACAATATTACCGAGTCCTACAGGTTGTGATTTAAACTTCATTTGAAAGAAACAAAGAAAAAGTATTTATTTGCGTCTGGGACGCATAAAAGACACAAAACGAACAAGATAATAAAATAAAGTTAAAAATAAAAATACATTAAGCATGGTAAAAACAATATCACAAAAGTAGAGGGTAGGAGAAAAATATGCGAAAAATTTTCGTATTTTAGTCGAGATTATAACTTTAAACGCTGCTGTTTTTAAAATTATATATTTGTAAACGCACCCACGGTACAGGAGAAAATCCAAATGGAAGCAAAGATATTTTCTAAAAATCGGTCAAGCCGTTACTTGTACTTGTACGAAGTTTTAAATATTTAAGCATACATAGGGATATAGGGATAGAGCAAGCGACTTTGTTTTATACCATCTTGATGTTGGTTTCATATCAAACAAAATAATAACCGTCTCTCTTAGTTCGAAACATCAAAAAATCGCCGCTTTTTACTTTTAAAACATAGGTTCATTAATCAATGAACTTTTGACCCGTTTTTTTTTACAATTTGTCGTTGCCATCGGAAATGATAAGAAATAACAAAGCCATCTTTTGTTTAGTTAATTTGTTTCTGTAAGCCGAATATTTTATATTTAGGTCGGACAAATATGGTCGCCGTAATAGTATTAAAATATGTTTGATTGTAATAAAGTAAGTAAGCCTTTATGCATCCTGTATCGTAAAAAACAAGTTTAATTGATCCACCTATAGGTTTTCTGAGAGTGTGCGAAAGGGAGATCAAATACATGTAGCTCGCTCTTACTCGAGTATAGCTTATCGGAGACTTAAAGCTAGCTTCTAGCTATCATCATCAGCCTATAAGTGCCCACTGCTGATCAAAGGCCTCTTCTCACACGGAGAAGGTTAGAGCATTAATCACCACGCTTGCACAATGCGGGTTGGTGATTTCAAACTTATAATTAGAAATTATAAGTCCAGGTTTCCTCACGATGTTTACCTTCACCGTATGTCAGTGGTGTCTAAAATAATCATTGAAAGTACATATAACTCGGAAAAAGTCACATTGGTACTTGCCAGGTTTCGAACCCGCACCCTCATGCATGAGAAGCGGGCGCCTTAACCTCCGGGCCACCTCGACTTTTTGCTAGCTTCTAGCTAGCTCGGTCCCTATATCCTTTATCATCATCATCATCAGCCGGAAGACATCCATTGCTGGTGCTACTGCTGGACAAAGGCCTCCCCCTTAGTCCTCCACTTCGAACAAGTTGCCACCTGCATCCATTGGCTCCCCGCGACTCTGACTATGTCGTCGGTCCACTTGGCGGGGGGCCTGCCCACGCTACGTTTTCCGATCCCTGGTCGCCACTCGAGCACTTTTCGGGCCCATCGGCCGTCTGTCCTTCGAGCGACGTGGCCTGCCCATTGCCTGCAGATTTTACGAGCTATGTCAGTGACTTTGGTTCTTTGGTGAATTCCCAGATTTCGGATTTCGTCGCGCAAAAAGGCAACGAGCAGGGAGTTTTTCCAAAAGGTCAGAAGTTAGGTTAGGTTATATATCCTATAAAAGTCAAAAATCATTTATTCCAATTAGACCTTTACAGGCACTTTTGAACGTCAAACAAAATTTAAAATAAAAAATAGTGTCAGTCTGTCGGTCAGTCCTCTTAGTGAAGCTATTTGCTCGTTCCAAAGTGTAGATTCCGATGGAGAAGAACGAGCAAGAAACTCCATGGTTACTCTTTTTAAATCAGTTTCACATACAGATTCCTTTTACAAACAGTTGGTTCAATTATGTGAGAACAGTGTAACACTAATATTTATTCAAATATAAAAATTAAGTAACCTTAAGGACAATAGACAGTCTGGAGCTGACCAGTCCCAACTGACGGCGCTCGTTCACGAGCATGACACGTACACCAGCATCGCCCAACTCAACCATATTATAGGGAATTAAGCGATCCAGTGCCCATGCCACCGCCAGTGTGACCTTTCAGTGAGCATGACAACTCCAAGCTGTTATAAGGACCGACATTCTGCTAGTCTAACCAATTATAATAGGTTACAGGGCACTCACATTTACAAATTTATCAAGTTATAGTTATACAATATAATGCAATTTCACTAAAATGAAGAAGTCCCGTTCAAGCAAAATCCATTGGAACGTTATTTATTTTGGTGTACGTTTGCTATCCTGTGGAGCAGGACCAGCATGTCTCCAAGCATCTTTATCTACAATGTAATCATTCAGTGTGTAGTATGCTTTTCTACATAAAGTTTTCTTTACACATAATTTAAAATTTCTTTCATTTAATTGTTGTATTTCGCCTGGGATTTTGTTATAACATTTAACACAGAATCCCATGAACGACTTATGTACCTTTGCCAATCTAAATAATGGCTGACATAATCTATCTCTATGTCTAGTTTGATAATTATGTCTATCTGACACCTTATCGAATATTTTTAAGTTTTTCCTAACATACATAATGTTTTCATAAATAAACTGACATGGCACGGTCATAATATTGATCTCTCTAAACTTTTCTCTAAGAGACTCACGACGCTTTAGATTGTAAATAGCTCTGATGGCACGCTTTTGCAAGACAAAGATAGACTCAATGTCAGCAGCCTGTCCCCACAACAAGATGCCATACGACATAATGCTATGAAAGTAGCTGAAGTACACCAGTCTTGCAGTGTCCACATCTGTTAGCTGTCGGATCTTCCAGACAGCAAATGCTGCAGAGCTCAACCGTCCTGCCAGAGATGTGATATGGGGCCCCCATTGTAGTTTGTCATCTATGGTTATACCCAGAAAAGTAGTTTGTTTTACAAATTCCAATTTATTACCGTTTAATAATATGTCACATTCGTTACTTTTAACTTTTGGCAAACTGAATCGTATACATTTAGTCTTTTTGTCGTTTAGGACTAAATTATTAATTGTAAACCAATTATGAACCTTCGTTATAGCATTATTTACGTCGTCATAATTATCTGTCCGTCTATTTATTGTTACGTGCCTGACTATGCGGGCTTGGGTTACGGGATTGGATGAAATGAAACACTAATACCGGTTTTCAGACTTTCTATTGCACTTAAGTTACAGCGTCCACGGAGTTAAGTTATCGGCGTTCCTCTCCAGCAGAGTCCGGCCGACTGACACAACTTTGCCGTTCACGCTGACTTAACTCACTTAACTGACTGCACTTCACTATTTCACTGCACTTCACTATTTCACTCACTTTTCTTCTTTCTCACTTCTTCCTTTTCTTCCGAATCGCTTTAGACTTAGAACTCAACTGCCAGCGGTGAGCCGCAGTTCCGCTTATATACCCCCGGTCAGGTTCTAGAACATTCAATTTCGTTATTCTTTTTGATCGTCATGCCTCCAGAATCTTCCAATAATTTCGTTATTCATTTTTATTTATTCTTCTTCTCGCTCCTTAATTTTTCATCACTTTCACTCAAATATTCCAGAAAGTTCGACAAAACTTCCATCAACTAAAAAACTTCATGTTTACGGCGGGACTCGAACTCGGGGTCTCTGTGGTGTAATCCACACGCCTTACCGATTACACCAACTCGTGTTGACAATTCACGACGAAATTTACAATCTCTAGGCAACGTTTGACAACCATCCATTGACGTCATGATGTCAAAGAGTTTTCTGTCACACTGCCCCCCTCTTAGATTCGCTCGTCCCGAGCATCGTTGCTGCCGTAATACCTCGCCAACCTGTCTATATGGACAACTTTCAAAGGGCTCCTTGAAGACTTCCGAATTCTGTAAGTAATGTCATTGATCTTCGTGACTATCTCGTAAGGACCTTCCCAACTCGGTTGCAGCTTTGGAGATTTTCCCTTCCTTCTGACTGGATTATGAAGCCAGACCAATGACCCCTCTTCAAACCCAACAGAATTGGCTCGTCGATCATAGCGCGTCTTTGCGCGATCACTAGCTTGAAGACCGGCCTCCCTGATCTGCTCATAAATGTCCAACATTTTTGCCCTTAACTCGCTTATGTAATCGCTAAACTCGGTGCGAGAATCACCAGGTGGACAGCCCGATACAAGATCTGCCGGTAATCTCAATTCCCTTCCAAAATTTGCAAATGCAGGCGTCTTTGCGGTACTTTCATGTACAGCAGTCCGATAGGCAAGCAAGAAGAGAGGTATGTAAGTGTCCCAATCTCTCTGATGGCTGTCAACCACCTTTGCTAAGTGTCGCTCCAATGTTTGGTTGAAGCGTTCGACCATTCCATCTGACTGTGGATGATAAGGGGTCGTTCGAGTCTTATGGATTCCCAAAAGTTTACAAGTTTCCTGGAAAACTTGGGATTCAAAGTTCCGTCCTTGATCACTGTGCATCTCCAAGGGCACTCCGAATCGGGTGAACACCTCGTTTACCAATTTCGTGGCTACAGTTACTGCCTCTTGATTCGGTATGGCAAAGACCTCCGGCCATTTTGTAAAATAATCCATAACCACTAAAACGTAGCGATTGCCCGAATCAGTGATTGGAAATGGTCCAGCGATGTCTAAGGCTATTCTCTCCCAAGGCATACCAACATTGTAGATTTTCATCGCCCCTCTGCTTCTTGTTTGTGGACCCTTG